CAAAATGCTGAGGCTGTGCAAAGCAAAGCAAAATTCTTCTTACGAGGAATTTTGGTCTTCGGCTCCTTGAGCTTGTAAAATTTCTGGATGTGGTGGTTCAGCTGGAAGACGGGTCTGTCCACATCCAGAACCCCATCCTCTCCGGCAGTGGCATGAGCTGGCACAACTGCAAAGCTCCCAATTCCAATATCCACCGCCTGAAAGGTCAAACAAGAAGAGGGAGACATGGCAGCGCTGGGCAGAGGTGGGAAAGGTGCTGGATGACCTGCTGGCCCTGGGCATGGTGTTGTGTGGCCTGCCCGCTGCTCAGGTGCAAAGGGCAAGCTGGGCTCCGAGCAGGAGGTAAGGCTCACCCTCTTCTCCAGCAGCTCTTCCCGAATGTACTTGGATGTGGCCCACCACACTTGGCAGATCTCTGGAAAGCAAAAGAAAGACCCATCAGCCAACTCGGAGTTGGCAACGCCCAACCCTTCTGAAACCCCTTCCCCCAGCAGAGGAGAGAGCGGGATGCGACCAAGCTCTCCCTTGCCCTCAACGAGCACTCGTGCTGCTGTAGCTTCCAGCACAGCTCTTGACCGTGCCCAGCGAGCGGGAAGCGCGCACTGCGCCTGGGGCCGGTCTGGAGAGGGAAGGGATGCGCTCTGGGGAAGGGGGTCCTGGCACCGGCAGCGGGCCTGGGCTGCCAAAGCAATCCCTGAGCCGGCGGGCACCACCCGGCAGGGCTCTCCTCGCAGACACCAGGCCTCCAGCTGCCCAGCCCTCAGCTTTCCACACCTCGTCTCCCCTCCGTCTTCGTGAGCACAGCGCTGCCTCAATGGCCCCCAAGCCTTACCCGAGGTGGTGAGGTCCTTCAGTAAGTTAAGCTCCTTGGGATCCAAGGGTTCGAAGAGCAGGTAAGAGAACACGTCAGCCGCCATGCTGTGCAGCAGTTGGAGAAGCGGCGCTCACTCCCTTGCTCCTGCTCCTTGCCCCCTGGCAAGCAGCGTCTCACTCTCTCTCACAGGTTCCCCTGGCCTTCTCCTGCCGGCAGAGCAGCTCCAGCGGAGCAGAGCAGCGCTGGCAAGAACAGCCCTGGCACCTCCCAGGCCTCGCTGGGAAATGTGGCCGGGGGACGCTGGGGACAGGGACTCAGAGCTGAGCCCCATTGTGACGCCGTGACGTGTCACAGAGGGCTGGGGGACCCGCCCACCTCACAGGCCCCCCGCCTCTTGGCCCAGCATGGATGGGGGAGCCCAGCGAGGCCCCCGAGGGTGCTGCGCTGGCGCTTCCGCCCTGCACAGTGTTCTCCTGCTCTTCGCATCTGCTGCGTGCATGGAAATAAATAGGAGGTGTTACTTTTGGAGCAACCTACGTGATTTTTCTGTGTGTAACTTGCTAAACTTTGTTAGCAGCTGCTAGGGATTTTGTCTGTCAGGAAAACACTATCTGCTGGCCGTAAACAGAACAATCACTGCAGTCTATTACTGAGCTAGAAACAAGGAACTTCATTGCTACTGCACGTTCATGTGGAAGGGGAGAATGTGTCACAGATGCAGTCTCTTGCCATCTTTTCTATATGCCTTTCAGTTGAAGGATGTGAAGCCTTGTTAATGCACACAGAAACCATCTAGCCCAGGGTAGCTGGCTGTCTATGGTTTACCTCCTTTCTGAATGTAGGGCACAAGAATCTTCTGTGTTTTGGTGCACTGTGGTAGCACCAAATTCAGTAAAATGCAAAGAGTTCTAAGCGTTGGAGACTGCTTCACTGTCTGCCTGTTGACCCCAACTTTATGTTCTTAAAAATATCCAATCCCAATCTGGGATTACTTTACCTAATGCCTGGGCCAATTTTACTTAGCTCAGAATACTTAGCTCAGTTTCCACTTTACTCTGTTCAGCAGCTTTGTTTGTGGAAGACCACTTGTCCTATGCTATGTACAGAAATATTCTAAATTTCCCCTGGAAAAACACAATCTACCTCTCACTAGGCTGCATTTTGGAAGATGGGGTACCTGTTCTGCCTCAGAACTCTTCAGGCCTGCCTACCCTAATTATCAGGGTCATCATGTCCTGTCAATCAAGGTGATGGAATGTGTTTGGGTACCCACGTTTTTGTTCATCAGGAGGAATAGCATGTTTGTCCTCTTACTGCTCTGCTCATGGTAGTCAATCATTAACTTCAAAAACTTGTTGGGCAGGTCAAGGCTTGGATGCTGTTGAACATGCTTTGAGTCAAGCATTCTCCAGCTTCTCATGTCTCAGATGGCTGCTTCTGAACAAGCTTTGATCCAAGTATTGTTCCCACTTCTCACACCACCAGGCAGTGCAGAGCTTGTTACCATTGTGCCATGGTGATTTCAATAAAAAAGCATCAAAGGTAATGAGGGGAGAAGGGAAAGATACATGTTAAAATCACACAAAAGCAAAGGAACAAAATGTGAGTGCTGCCAATGCTCAAAACAGAACTCCTAGCCAGGAGGCTAGGAAAAGTAATCTAATACCTAGGCCAACTTTCAGACTCCTTGGGTAATTTGAGCTGGTCCAATTGCCTCATCACGTGCCAGACTTTCACACACAATGTGAAACAAAATGATTACATGCAATATACACATCGGTGTTAAGATTATTAAGATCACAACTGGGGGAAGCACAGAATTAAAAACTACTCTTGCTGTTGGTGACCATCTAAGGAGCATTTCCCACCACTGGAGTTCTCCATCCATCTTCGCTCTTTCCAGGACATGGTGTAACTCTTCTGTATCATGGTTAACAGTAATCCAAGTTTTTTTGTCCATTATCTTGGATGCTTTCTAGCAGTTGGTACAGATTGTCATGTTGCAATAATTTCTTTACCAAAGCAAGATTCATTCCAATTGGGGCAGGTGACAAATCTTGCATTAATGTACAATTGGACCCCAACAACTGATATGATGTAACTGGAACTGAATAATTAAAGTCACGTCCCATAATGTTAGTAAAGTTACAAACACAGATGTTTGAATGACTGCTTGTATCTGCAGTAATATTACCTATGAGTATAAAATTATAAGAGGTTCTCATACACACACATCCTTTTCCAGTATAGACGAGCACTATTTCAGGGGTCTCACTGGGATACCTCTAAAAATGGCCAATATTTTGCTCAGTGTCAAGACAAATATCTTAAGCTGTGATGGTATTACTCTCACAAATAAATCCTTGTTGTTTCCATACAGCACATGGACTAACATCAACAGTTTGCCATTTGTTTCCATTTTGTTGTGCCCATACTCTGTGCTCTAATGAGTAGGGCATAACCCCATTGTGATTCAGTCCCTGCACAGTGTTTGGGTATATGATATGCACCAAAGCATTGCATATTGCTAGGACAAAAGCTGTAGCAAAATCATTAAATGAATCATAAGTAAAATTAACTAGATGCTACCAAGATTGAAATTCTCCTTCAAATTTGTTTGCATTGTCTCAAATCACCTTTCAAATTTCAGTGAGTAAAGCGTTCCCTTTACCTTCTACAACTAAGAGCTAGGAAGACATTATTTTCAGTTATGGCAAGTGCATCTACAATTAACTGGTCTTTTATATTAATTATTTCCCATTGAGATAATACATTAGAAAAGAACTGGTTCCCAGTGCTGATAGGGAAGACTGCAGGATCAAACTCATTAAAGTATAGGGGCTAGGAACCACAGGGTGTTGCTTGAGAACTATTTCATTAATTTTTCTTAAATCTGCACCAGCCGATACGTGCCGTCTGCCTTCCGTACTGGCAGAGTTGGAGCGTTATAGGGTAACATACAGAGTTACAGAAGACCATCCTTAACCTATGTTTGCGTTACAGGCTTTAGACCCGTTATTCTTTCTAAAGGTATGAGATATTGTCGCTGTTTCACAGCTTCACTCCCTACTTGGACAGTGGGTTTTTTTTTAAGGGAGTAATTGTGAGTCCACTGCAGTTTCCTTCCCCTGCCCACACCTTTGGATTTATTTATTTTTCATCATCAGCTGTTAACAAATTCACTGACACTTTTATATCTGTTTCAGAAGTTTTCAACTGCAATCCTAATTTAACTATTAAATCTCTCCTCAGTGAATTAGTCTCTGCTTCTGGCACATATAACAATTGCCCTGTGACAATTTGATCTTCCCATTTTAATTCAGTAGTCTCAAAAAGTTAAACTATTATTCCTGATCCCTCCAGCCCTGTTATTCTTAAGGTATTCCCAGTCAAGTCAGGTCCCAGTATTTTATAAGGTAAAAATGACCACAAATTGATCAAACTGTTCTGCTAATCCAATAGGATCTTTCATTAATGATTTCATTTCCCTTTTAAAATTTCTCATTTCTCCACTAGTAAGTAGGAAGTTTATATATTCTCTATCTCCTGTTATCACTGGCAGTTCCCTTAGAAGATATGTGGAAATGTGAGTGGGATTAATGGGGTTAGATTTAGGAAAAGGAGAATTAATAATATCCCTTTTGCATTGTTCCAATTCCTTCTCAAACTGGCAGAACTTTTCCTTTTCAGCATCAGCACTAATCACAGCATTCAATTCAGGTGGGCTGTTAAGGGGCTGATCTTAGCCAATACCCTCCACACTGTCAGCTCCCTCCTGTAGTTACAAGACTTGACGCGAGGCCAGGATGGTAACGGGAACCTCGTTCCATAGAGGAAAGCGAGTGAGTTTAAGCCTAGAGAAAAGTACAGGGAGTAAACAGCTTAAAGAATCCCATTTGGGGTTTCTCTGTTCTTCCTTACCTACAGAATTTTGTCTAGCCATGATTAACTGCTGTACTCCCTAAATCCAACAAGCAGCATATGCAGACTCATCCTCCAAAGCAAAACAATAAAACAATAAAATAATAGAAAAGAAGTTCTACTGTTTATGTGCACATTTGAAGCCTGACAAAGGCAATCCTTGTCAGACGCACATTTTGGCCAAAATACTTATTCCCCTGCAATTAGTTATTCAGGCCACACAACAACACAATATCTAAATCATTTTCTATTTATCCGTATCCCTGGTTCTCTTCCAATTTTTCATTATAATTCGCAAGGACTTATAGCAGGCACTGCCATGGGGGCCCTCTCTCTGTCCCCCACCTTGGAACTCTTATTTCCCTAACTCTTATTTCCCATTTTCAGCAACCTATGTGATACTGCAGGAACTACTTTTCTGCAGCATCATGCATGTCAATTCTCAGTTCTAGGAAATGAGGCGGACCGTCAAGCAACCCTTCATGTAGGACATTCACGTACAGCATAAGAGTCCCAGACCTCGACCTCCAGGGCAGTACTTAATCACACATGATTATGCTTGCCTAGGTCTGCGCACAGAGTTGCCAGGAATTATCAGGTCAATCACACAACACCACAGTGCCTCCTGTCCATCCCTGTCCCAAAACTGTTCACAGATCTTGCCTCTAAAAAACATCCTTGGGTCCAAACTGGCTCCATGAAGAACAACTACTGCCAATTCAAAGGGACGCAGAAAAATGAGCAGGGTGCTGTAGAGGCAGAGGCTCACTGCAAGTGATGTTGTTTCCCAGGTTTCAGCACCAAACTGGGAGAAACTCTGTACATTTCCACACTGGGCAGCAACCAGGAGTTAGACTTGTCACAAAGAATTCTAGAAAGATCAGTACGAAAGCTTCAGAGGTAAAGAATCCCCAGTGATGCATACTGTCTGAATCACTTTATCTAGATCAAATTGCCATAGTTGGGAGCTAAAGTTTTTCTGTCAGAAAGAATAAAATGTCACTGTGTGAAGAGAGTAATGCCAGATATTCTAACACTTTAGATATGTCCCTGTTTGCTTCTGTTGAAATCAGTGACTAAACTCCCAGTGGCTCCAGTGCAACTCTTTAGCAGCTGAATATTTTGGCTTTATTTATTTTTTTTAAATAAATAAATAGTTTAAAATGAAAGAAGAATGCTTGCTTTGTTTCCTTAGTTCAGTTCAGATAGACATAGCTCAGGAAAGTGATTACTTGGAACTAATCCTTGTTACAGCAGCCTAGAAATTAATTTCTATTTTGACAAAATGAAAGAGCAAAACATGAATTGAGATGGATATGCAGGGTAGCATTGAAATGTCAGGGCCTATTGATAAATACATGTCAGACAGCAGTACACCTTCAGACAACAACTGCTGTGGCAATTGCTTAATTAAGATTATCACTTGATAATCATTCATTACAGCCATTACAAGTACCTTGTGCCTTCACCCGCACAGCCAGCAACATTTCCTGACTGGTCTGGCTCATTAGCAAGAAAAGAACACATCTAGTTATTCTCACTCCACAAAAAAGAAATGTGTTGACCATATTCAACAGTCTCAAAAGCATTATAGCTTTGAAACACTGACTTAGTGAAATTTAGAAAAAAAAACAAACAGTTTGAAAGCCTTGCTTGAGACAATTGAAAACATAGCTTTCTGTCTGTACTGGAATTTATATAGACTCAGTGCCCACCACCAAGTTTGTCTGGTGACTACAGTGATTCCAGAAAACAAGCTGGCAGAAAGCAATGAAAGACCTATCAACTGAAAAAAAAAAAGATTACATTTTCAGTAGTATTTGCTTTTTTTTTTTTTTTTTTTTCTGTATGGGTTTTGTTTTTTCATTTCTTAGTTTGTTGTTTATGATTTCATGAGCTTGATTTTAAAAAGGGATTCAGGGAGACAAAAAAACTAGTGAAAGGAAGAAGAACAAGAAAGGTCCTTAAGTTTAGTACTGACAATGTAAAAACATTTAAGGGTTAAAATATTTAAAAATAAAAGTTACGTGCTTCCTTTGAATCAAGTAATGTTCTTTAGACATGTATTTTGAAAGAGGAAAGGATACTATTAAAAAATCTTAATACAAAATGACACACAACAAACATAAAATGATTTTGCTTTCCATTTCTTTAATTATAAGAACTGAGAAGAAATGTCAAAGCACAGAATCTGCAGACTGGAAGGCACCACTCCTCCTCAAAATAACACAGAGAAAAGGCATTGCTAGCAGTTCTCTGCAGTAGAAGAACTAGCACTAACATCCATACTGTCACTACTCTCAGCTTGTCTGGGTTCAGGTTTGAGTGTATCCATGTCCATTTGCCCAGTTCATCTAGAAGGCTGCTGAATGCCTTTCCTACCTGCCATCCTGAGGTGGAGACAGTCTTCAGAACTCCAAAGAAAGTGGCCCAGCACTGAGTGAGAAAGAGCAAGAGGTATTGTGACTGCAATCACATAGATGTTGGTGCAGTCTGAATGTGTGATATTCAGTGCCCTGCTGAAACATTTGGTCATTATAGTCCATTAAGTCTTTAAGATAAATATTTGAGAATGCTTGAAATTTGCTGGATACA